CTGGAAAATAAATGCAGTGATCGGTGAATTGTCTTCAGATGTGGTTTGTTTGTTTGTTTGTGATTGTTATTCGTTTTACTGTCGGTTCGTTTGTTCGTGCTCGTGTCTGTGCTTTGGTTTTTCAATTTGCATTTGTTTGCGCTCGTTTGTTTTTGTTCATTTGTGTTTACTTTTGCTTTTGTGTGTTCGTTTGTCCGTGCTTGTGTTGTCGTGCTTATTTTATACTGTTTTTTGTTTTTGTTTATTTGTATCCTTTTCGTTCGTATGTGTTTACGTTTGTCTTTGTGTTTTGTGTTTTTGTGCCTATTTGTACTTTCGCTTGTTTGTGCATGACTGAACACTGAAAGTGTGTATATATTTGCTTTTAATAGTTTTACAAAGGCAAAACTATTATAAAATGCAGTCACACACACACATGTATATATATATATATATATATATATATATATATATATATATATATATATATATATATATATATATACACATATATATGTACATATATATATATATATATATATATTTATATATATATATATATATATATATATTTATATATATACACATATATATATATATATATATATATATATATATATATATATATATATACATATAAATATATATATATATATATATATATATATATATATATATATATATATATATATATTTATATATATGTGTGTATACATATATAGCTATCTATATTTATATTCATATATATCTGTATCTGTGTGTGTGTGTGTGTGTGTGTGTGTGTGTGTGTGTGTGTGTGTGTGTGTGTGTGTGTGTGTGTGTGTGTGTGTGTGTGCGTGCGTGCGTGTGTGCGTGCGTGCGTGCGTGCGTGCATGCGTGCGTGCATGTATGTATGTATGTATTTATAATATGTATATACATATGCATATAGATAAATAGGTAGATAGTTTTTTTCATGCATTTATATATATATATATATATATATATATATATATATATATATATATATATATATATGTACATATGTAGAAAAGGTATGAATGAGAATGAATATCTTCATAATACATGATATATAAATATATATATATATATATATATATATATATATATATATATATATATATATATATATATATATATATGTATATATATACATATATATATATATATATATATATATATATATATATATATATATATAAATATATATACATATATATATATATATATATATATATATATATATATATATATATATATAAATATATATACATATATATATATATATATATATATATATATATATATATATATATATGTATATATATATATATATATATATATATATATATATATATGTATATATATATATATATATATATATATATATACATATATGTACATACACATACACACACACACACACACACACACACACACACACACACACACACACACACACACACATATATATATATATGTATGTATATATATATATATATATATATATATATATATATATATATGTATATATATATATATATATATATATATATATATATATATATATATATATAAATATGTATATACATATATATATACATATACATATACATATATATATTCGTATATATGTGTGTGTGTGTGTGTGTGTGTGTGTGTGTGTGTGTGTGTGTGTGTGTGTGTGTGTGTGTGTGTGTGTGTGTGTGTATGCCCATCACAGATACGCAGAGGCGAGTGGGTTATTTATAGATTTTCCCGGCTCGTTCAGTTCGTTACATTCGTACGGCAATTTGGGTATAGGGACCCCCGTCGATGAAGTATGAAGTAGGACATGCTTAGTTAGACAGGGCATTTCAGAATTTTCACGTCACCGTTCATTAGCGCATACTTTCCGATGTATATCATTAAATGGTAGTTAATATCATTGTGGTAGTTAAAATAATTTTGTATTAATTCCATTGCTAGTCAATCGCATTATTGTTAAAAGGAACGTTAATCTTCGTGTTTGCCATACATTTCCATTCTGTGTGAGCTCAATCTCACTTTCATTCTCATTCATATTCACTGTCACTCACACACACACTCATCCACGCAGAACAAAAGACACTGAAACCTTTTCATTAATAGGGTTTGTTTCTGTCGTAGTTCTTATGCCGGCGATTTTGTCAGTCGTAACGAGTGACTAATACATGATGTACAATTTCGTATTTTACGTACGTTTCCTCTCTATATGACGACAATTGGTTCAAGTAAATCCTTGCGGATTGCCGTTGTCGTTTCCCTTATCTACTCTTATGTCTATCAGAGATGCTTGGTAGTTCAGACCAAGTCCATGCCAATCTCTACTGACGTCTCCCTCTCCTACTTTCTTCTTTATTTTTGTGAAAGTTAAACACAAAATCAAAAATACGAAAATAAAGTAAAAGGTATCATTAAGAACTGCAAATTTACTTATATAACTGTCAAGTAGCACTTAACATCCCCTCCTCTCTGTTGCCTTTCTTTTTCTTTTCCCATC